GATATTTACTGGGAGAAAGTGGTGAAGTTCTCCTCCACATAATTTGTTTGCTCATGTTTGAGTGTCACTGTAGGGGTGAGTGGTCATGAGTTACAATGAGCAAAGTGCAGAAATGGTTCAGTGAAATGTTGTTGGTTGATGCATTCTATGGCACTGAGGTCTTCTATCAGAGAAAAATCTAGACTTAAATATTATTGGTTTACTTTAAATGTCTGTTTCTAAACTAAAGGGATGTCAATAGAGTTAATAATGTTTCTTCCTGCTGAAATATTATTTAGAAGAAACAGTGACTTGTTCGACTAATTTCCTTGGCTTAAAATTTGGATTTTCAGGAATTAATGAACTATTTTTGTTCTTGCAATTTTATATTTTTTAAGGGTACAACACGTGATCTCAACATTCCAATTTCTTAATAGAGTAATTAAGGAGGGGATGACGTATCGCTAATATCAATGCTTCAAAAGAATGAGCTTTATTTTTGTGAAGGAAAGAGTATTATTATCAAGATTTACCCTTTCTTTTATATATTTATATATATATATATATATATATAATGAAATTTCCCCTTGGCTATTAGGCCTTCTATACGGTGAGATACATTTCTTTTAGTTAATAAATATGCTTGAAATAATGCTTTATGCTATCTACTTGTAGAAGAAGTATATATTTTCAATATTAAGAAATTGAGCAATAAGTTTTTTCCCATTTCCATACTGAAGTAGTTTAAACCTCACAAGATGGTAAAATTACTGCATGCAATGGGCATGAATTTGTTTAAAAAAATGGCAGCCAAAGAAAACCTGTGTAGAGTCTGTAAGACAACAATTGTCTCCTCATTTTGAAGAGGAGACAATTAAACTTAGAAATTAATCTAGCAAAGTAAAAAAGCTTTCATGAGATCTGATGAGGCTGGTCAGCACCTGTCTCAGTGTTAGCAGTGCAATAGAGTGATAGGATCTTCTCTTCCAGACATGTTACATTCCTGGTGTAGTATCCTGCTAAGCTGAAAAATCTGTATTATCTCCAATGCAGACATTCAGATTTAGGGCAGCATGAATACCTTTTGTTTTTAGCCCCTATAAATCAGAAGAAATTCTCCCAGTTGTTGGTAGGGATCTTGAAGCAATTTTGTAGCTGCAGTCCAATCAGATAATGCTACTCTCTAAGGGGTACAATGAGCACAGAGAAGAAAATATTAATATCACAGCTCACCCCAGAAGTGACTGCATTTCAATTTGATAAATGGTTTATTATCATCATCATCTTATCTGTCAAGCTTTGAGTGTATTTTGGAGACATTGGGAAGAATAAATCTCTATAAATATTGCTCACTGCCATTCACAGCAGTATGCCAAATGACGTATGCTCTACTAGACTTAGCCCAAAAAACCTAATTATTGTATTGTAAGGGGAAATAAAAACTTTTAAAAAACAATTTTGTTTTCATGTACTTGTTTTAATGTGGTGATTCCAGAACAGCAATATGGTATTCCTGGAACAATGCCTCCTATTTTTCAGCCCAAGGTGCCTGCATCAGTCTCCATTGTCATCAGAGCAGATAAGTAAACTTGCATCACCTTAAAATGACTGTAACAGCCCAATCAGCCTCTGAGTTTTGCTGTTGCCATCATTTGATAAACATTCAGGTTGAACATTAAATGACTGTTTTGTTTTTCTGTCATGCAATTTTGAGTTAACTGCAGTTCTAATAAACAGAGTGCTTCAAATACAACCAGGGCTGTGCAAATTTTCATGTCCTTAATGATTATTTGAAAATGATGCCCAAGAAATTTTTAGCCTTGACAAGTGGTAAATTGACATTTGAACGTAGCATAACGCTTTCTTCTAAGTTGGTTGTGTGTGGGGCTTTTTTGTCTCCATGCATGTACACACACAAATATGTAAATCTAAACTTACTTTCTTTTTTTTTTTTTCTTTTGCTATGATTTGGCAATTGCACTGAACAAAAAGGCTTTGTTTCAGGAGGTATACTGCTTAGCAATATACTTTCATCCTTCCAGTGAAGTATGCTGCATAAGAAAGAAGATGCTGTGACACTTGCTTGACTAAAAGTGTTGGTTGAACTAAGTTAATTTAAAAATAAGGCTTTAAACTATATAAGTAAAATGTATTCAGCATTTCAAGGCCAGATGTCTTCCACAGTTTTTCCAAAATGTACATCCTCTAATATAACTAATTTTGGAAATTTTGCCTAAAATCTAAGCAGAAGTTTAAACCTTTGCTGTGTAGTAGTGATTCATTAAGGTTGTGATTCAGTTTTAGACTGTTCTGAAAGTCAGAGGTAGTTTGGTCCAGTGTTGGTACCTCTGACTTTGCTTTAGACGGTTTGAGGAAGATGCCTGTGTCTACACTTTAGGACAGGTACAGTTGACACAATGTTTAATTCCTTGGTGAACCTGGAAAAGGATGACTGCTAGGAGGTGCACAGGAACTCACTGCACTTTCACATGTCTGGGTTTTCTGCTGTAGGAAACTGAAGGACTTTGCTTTAGACGGTTTGAGGAAGATGCCTGTGTCTACACTTAAGGACGGGTACAGTTGACACAATGTTTAATTCCCTGGTGAATCTGGAAAAGGATGACTACTAGGAGGTGCACAGGAACTTGCTGCTCTTTCACGTCTGGGTTTTCTGCTGTAGGAAACTAACATGCATGTTCATCTCTTATTCTGGCATGCAGCTGGCCTGTGGTCAGGATATATGCTCAAGTGTGTGGGCTGAGTCAGTAAAACTCTGGGCTCTAAAATTTTACAAGATCAGACAAACTGTTTGACAAGACTTAAAAATAATACTTGCGGCTTATCTCTAATATTTCTGTCACCCAAAAAATTAAGTGAAACTTTTGAATACCTATCAGACCTTTTACAAAACACTAGAAACGGTAATCTGTTTTATTTGAACATAAGACCACAATGCCTCACAAGGGACTCTAATATTAGCCATTCCCTTACCTTTCCAGGTCAAATGAAAAAAAGTCTCTATATGATTATGACGTTCTTTCTCTTGAAACTGCTTCTTCCACTGCTTGCTTTCCTGATGGCCCTTGTCTTGGCTTTTAAATCATTGTTTTAATGAATTGATTCCAGCTCACTTAATATAAAAGCTCATGTAGAAGTTGGCAGATATGGCAGGAACTTCTATACATCTTCTCTTCCTCAAATTTCTCAGGAATTCAAGTCAGTTTCCTTGTCTTGAATAGGATTGAAAATAAACTATTGAAAATTATGACAATTAATTTATCACAAACTTTTCCTATTTTTTTTTCCTGGGCTTTCAGGGGATTTTTTTGATATTTGGCAATGACACAATTTTGCCAAGCAACACTACCTCCTCTTAAAATTAAGATAAAAATGCAAGTTCTTTACCTTGGCAGGATGGTAGTGTTAGGGCATTATCCGGAATTAAGGCCTTTCTCACATATAGTAACAAACTCCTTGGCAGGTAGCAGAGCTGTTGTGAATAACACATAAAACCTCTCTCTGGAAGAGTTGTTTTGGTCTTTTTAGAATCTATCTGTTGTATCATAGGCTGGTTGGGCTTTGCCTCTTTGGTCTGATGAAAGAGAGAAGGAAATGCACACCCACTTGCATTATGTCTCATTCTGACTACACTGGACTTCTACTATCTTTTATGCTAAATTACCAAAGCTGCTTGCTTATGCAATTTCTTATAAGCTGGAATCTTGAATTACATGCATACTGGTAACTTCTTCATAGTACATCAGTTTCTGGCAGACAAAGATTTTACCTGTTTTGGAAGAAAATTTTAAAACTTTTTTTGTCCCTGCTCTTTTTATTCTATTATGTTGAATTTGTGGGAAACAGCTTTTCATTTCCTGATGATTTCTTGTCACAAACCCATAGCAAGATATTTGGATGAAAATGGCAGAACAAGTAAAACTTCATTTCAATGGCTTTTTATAGTACTCGAAAAACTGACCTGTCACCTCTTCCCAATTTGTAGTAAGATTGGTTCAGTATAACTGATTTGAAGAAGTTTGGAAAGTCTCTGAATTTTAAATGTTTCTGATGAATGTATCTGTGATGTGTTTCAAACTGTAATCCAGCTCCCAGTGAAGTAAACAGCAACGCTGCCATCAATTCCTATGGTGCAGAAGTGGACTTATAATGAGCTATTTAATGTTTCACTTATCTAAATTGTCACAGCTTGAAAGCTGTAGCAAAGGACTGGTGGGGTTGTGGAATGACTGGAGGGTCTGTAAATGTAATCAAAGAGACCAGATTGTGTGCAAGAAGCTGTTTCATCTCAATCTCTTTCATCTATGGAAACCTGATAGAATTTGTTTAGTACATTCTGTCACACAGAAGTGCACAGTCAAATGCAGTATTTAGAATGGCTGTTCAGAACAAAAGCAGATAGATGAATCGGTTTACAGTTAAGCAGCTGTAATTCAGCAGTTTTAAGTTCTCCATGTTCTGTCACAAAACTCCTGATGAAAAAGTCTTGTTTGTAAACCATATCTAACTGGTTTTCTTATCTTTACAATTATAGAAGCATATATTTGCTTCTTGGAGGAAACTGAAAATGCTTCTAATATTTGTGGAGTGTTACAAATGAATGAAGACTATATCTTATGATATCTAGTGTAATATAAAATTATTTTTCATATATCTAAGCTTAATTTATTGTTCAGAATATGCAAGAATTATATATTAACTGATCTCAAGTGGTGGCTGTTGTGAGGGGATTTTTCTGCCTTTTTTTGTTTTTCCATGAGTTTCTCTCAGCTGGTAAAATCCACCAGGGTCTGAAAGATTCACTAAACCAAATGAACAAATAAATGGATATTCTTTAAAAAATTCTGACAAAATATGGAGCAAATTTTAGTCATGTTAAGTATATTTGCTAGTTCAGTAAATTATGTGTGAAAGAAGTGTGATTTCATCATCTTCTTTTGAAAGACTTAGACTTTAATGATGAAAGAGCTAATATGTGTATTGTGCATGTTTACCACAAGCAGTCAGCAAGTCATCTGCAGCAAGGTGGGAAGAGTTGCAGTGTGTATGACATAGAGCTGATTTCATGATTGCCTGGTGTTTTGAGAAAAACATAGCTTTGAGTTCACAGGTAAGGTCATATAATGTTCTCTTTGAATTTTAGCATTCTAAAAACCAGTTTGGAATCTGTACAACAGTGATAATCAAATCTTGGGCAGATCACAGCATGCCTCTTCAACCCCAGTGAACTGAATTGTGGTGAACTTAAAAGTTGGTGCTGCTAGAGAGAGAATGTTTTTAAAGTTAATTCATTTGTTGACACCTCATTTATTAGTATCCAGAATATTATTCAGCATCTTCAGGCTTTGCCATATTTTCCTTTCTGTTACTGAGTCAAATGTATTGCATGTGATTGTGTTGACTTGCAGCATTTGCCATATGTTTCTAATAGCAGTTCTGTAAAATGATGAATGAATTATTCCTCTTCCCCTTTTTCCTTAGTTCTGAGATATCAGTCTAAATTTCCTTCACACTTTGTCCTTCACTCAGACATGATTTTGCACAGTTATTCTAGCAGCAGTTTGCTTCTCAGACCACTTTGCTTTCGCTATCTTGCCCACTGTTGATTTAAAATGTTAACTGACAAAATTAAGTTCTTAAATTAGGATTGCTTTGTGTTGAAAATATTTCCCAGTAAAATTCTGCTATTGAAAAGTTTAAATTCTTGGAGTGCTTGTATTTCTTAGGAGAACTATATATTTCAGGGTTTTTGTTTTTTAGCCTTGGTGATCTGGTTGCAAAATGAGCGGAGTACACAGAATGATACATTTTAAATATAAGTCATATATTTATGTCTGTAGTAGAGGATACTGAAAAAGATCTGTTTACTCACCTTACCTTGGTCATTGTTCCTATGAGCTAAATTCTTGTATCCAAGCAATAAAGAAGAAGAAAAAATATTTCTCCTGAATTTTTCAACTTTCCATGAACCCTGATAAATGCTAATTGTAGTTTCTAGGAGAAAACTTGTGTAAAAAATCGTGAATGTATTTTTTTATAATTCAGGTGTTTTTTCATCTGTGAAAGAACACCAAATGCTTCTGGAGACCATTCTGAGTAAACTATTCAGCAGAATATGGAATGATGTAGGAAATAATCTAGAAAAGCAGTAACTTGAGCTTTTAACTGCTCTTGAAGCTGCAGAGGGAAGTAACCGATAAGAATTAGACTTTAAAATAAATGACCAAGAAATTGTGACATCATGGGACAGTATATATCAGAATCTGATAACATGCTGTATGAGAAAGGTCATATAATGGAACTGTATTTTATCAGGTTGAAAGGTTTGAATGTTACAGTGATTTATTTATGACACTGATAAAGGATAAGCAAGAGGAAATATGGGCCTCAAATTCAGGTCAGCCAGCTAGAGGAAAATTGATGTTGATTCCTTAAAGAATGGAATCTGTAAGGTTGTCCTTAAGGCAATGCTTTACAGTTTTCTTGTCGCTGGGTGAAAAAAAAATGCCAGAAAACAATGCCAACAAACCCCCAAAAGGGAAACTGTTGACATCATAAGTGTTTTGATCTTGTGCTCTTAATGGCAGCATCAGGTGCATCTGACCATAGAATATGACTTACAAAGTTACTTACAAGTAGCCTTTTTTGTTTGTTTACAGCTGAGTCATGCAGCAGTTCTAAGCATGGTGTGCGTGATGTAGTCTGAATTTGGGTGACTGCAATGCTTTCATGGGACAAAGCCCAGGCAGTAGGGTTAACCTAAAGTTTTGGAAAAATTAGATGTACATGGATACTTTATTCTGGATAATGGCAAAGCAACAAACAACTAAGTGGTTCTAGATAGCTGCTTTTTTGCCTTTTTTTTTTTTTTTTTTTCCCAAAGATGTGTCCATATTCTTAAAGTATTTAACCAGCACTGGGAACTTGATATGTGTAACTGTAAAATCCAGGAAAGCAGAATTCTATGGCAGAATTAAAGAAGAAAATTAATTATGGAACATAGGGACCAACTCCTTCAGGATGATTTTACCATTAATAATGTTGAGCTGGGCAAATGCAACATTAGAACATTAATGAGGTAATTGATATTTTGTTACAATGTTCATGTGCACATATGTATTTAAAAATATGTGTAAGTGTAGATATATCTCTCAGCCCCTGGACACTGACATGTCTGTATATAATAGAGATATATTTTCTAGCTCTTTTTTGCATGATAATGCTACTTAAACTATCTTCTAATATATCTGCTAAGTTATGAATGTAGTCGATCAATGACTCTCATGGGCTATTTAATCTGTTTTAACAAACCAAAGTATTTTGAATGTTTATCTGAGAGAAAAATCAAGTGTATCTTAAAATTTGCATTTCCAATTGCTAATTAAAACTGTAATCGATTCCAAAGGCTGTTGAAGTGAATATAAGTTTGGGGTTTTTTCCCCAAATTTACTTTTGAGTCTGATATGTACGGACTCTACACTTTGGCATGAAATATCTATTTTGTGCAAACAAGGTGAAGGAAGGTAAAAACAGCTTGCCTCTGAGTCATCAGATTTTGACTTTCAGAAGTAAAATGTAATGTTAACCTGGTGCAGGACAACAACAGGTGAAAACTTGAAATTATTCGTGTAGAATAAAAGTGTCCTCACTGTCATTTCATAAGTTCACAGGTAAGTTGTATTTTGTGCTAACACAATTTTGAAAAAAACCCAACAAGCATATCATTGCTATATCTCCATGAGCAAGTAGATTCCTTACAGCAGTTTCAAGTTAAAAGTACACATTCTCTGGCTGAGGCTAGCAGTATTTGCAGATAGTCTGAATCTAGCCACTCTACTCTTGGGAATGACATGACTTTTAAACTTTAACTAATTCTTAAATTTACTGTATTCTTTCAATTTTAATTACACAATTACTTCTGTTGAACTGTTCAACAGACCCAATTATATAAACAGCAGCAGGTCAAAATCTATTTTGTGTGTACACAAACATTTCTAAGTTGTGTGTATATGTATGTTTTGTATATGATACATATACCTGTGTTCATGTGTGTTATATTTTAAATTAATGCAGTATTTTCAGAGCATTTATTTTTGTATACAGCAAAGTCTTCCCCTAGTGATCAGCTGCTGTGCTAACTAAAACTGTTTGTTTAATTAGAGCATCTCAAATTCGAAGTCAAGTTTTTCTGCAGAATGTTTATGAACATCATGATCTTAAATATAGAGAAATGTTTTTTCCTGTAGCAAGTGTTCCACATTGATAATCAGTATAGTGGAAGGAGGAAGATAGCTTTCTGGGGTCATTTTGGTGCCTTTCTGCTGGGGTTTTTGATTTTGTTTGCAGTTGTTTGCAGTGTCCTGGGTTTGGCCAACAGCCAATCTCTAAGCAACAGCTACTTTGGAAGAAAAAACCCCCCATGAATACTGTAGAACATGATGATATATGACATGAGCTCCCTTTTGGCCAGTTTGAGCCAGATGTGTTCCCTCCCAAATGCTTGCCCATCGCCAGCCTACTTGCTGGCAGAGACCAACTAAGGAACTGAGAAAGTTTTGACTAATGCAAGAACTACTTCTCAATAGCTAGAACTTCAGTGTTACACATGCTGTTTTAGCCACATTGTACCACCAGGGCTCCTATGAAGAAAATATACTCCATCTCAGACAGACCCAAGGCAACCCTCTTTTCTTACCCACCATGGGTATGTGCAATGATCATTTCTTCTTAGCAACATTTCCTTATTATTTTCTCTAAAATAGTTTTTCATGTCTAGAAATGTATTTTGTATGTTGCCTTTCTCTCTGAATGATTTTTTCACTTGTAAAATTAATTCTCAAGTTAGACTGACCAGAATAATGGTCCACCTGAATGCATGTAGAAAACCTCTTCTCCAGGCTGAACAGACCAAGTGACCCCAGCTGCTCCTCATTCAGCTTCCACTCAAGCACTCAGCACTCAAGGCCACCCCAGTGCAGAGCAGAGAGGGACAATACCTTCCCTTGCCCAGCTGGCACTGTCCTCCAGGACATGTGTGGCCCTCCTGGCTGCCAGGGCACCATGACTCATGTTCACTGTGCCCTTGACCAGGAACCCCAGCTCCCTTTCCACAGCACTGCTTTCCAGCATTTCATTCCCCAGTGTCTACATATATCCTGGGTTGCCTGGTCCCAGATGCAGAATCCAGCACTTTTCCCCCTGTTAAATTTTGTGTGGTTGGTGATTGCCCAGCCCTCTCCCTCTAATTTATCAAGGTCTCTCTGCAGGGCTTCCCTGGTTTTGAGGAGTCAACAACTCCTCCAAATTTTGTATAATTTCCAAGCTTGCTAAGTATGCTCTCCTTAGCTTTGAAAGCCCCTCCTTCTGAGGATCTTGCTTTCTGCTTTAAGGTGTGCTATGCATATGCAATGTCTTAAAGTTTCTGCTAATTGGTTTTTGCTTGCAATTCTTCATATGGTGAATAAAAGTCCAAAGGTATTATAGTGCAGGTGTAATACAGCTCTATTTATTTGAAAAACTACAACTGATTTTTCTTTAAGTTCTTAATTTCTGTGGAGGGAAAAAAAAATTCACTTCAATTTTCACCCCCAAGAATTTTTTTTCCTTTCTTCACCTACATCTGCCTACTAGTGATATATTATACCAACTCCTGTTTGAGAAAAGATTATATATATATATAAACTTGAATTTAAGCAGGTACTGAAAGTCAAAAGATATTAAAGCATGTGTTAGAGCCAACTCTGAACTGAACTGAGTCAGCAAGATCTTAAATAGTAATATTCCCATGGTCAGAGGTCACATCACTTCTTGTATGTCCTTTGTCATTTTTAGTTATAAGGTTTGCTGATGCAAAATGATTTAGTATTCATAAACTATATACTATATGAACAACCCTGCCTTTGGCACTTTTGATATTCTGGATGTTCTGCTGTGGTGTATTTGGTGCCCTGTTATAGCAGTGACCTCAAATAAACAACACACATCTTAAATGATATTTTTTTCTTTTCTCAATTATTCAGTGTTTCTTCACCTCAAAAATCTCACTCTGGCTTTGATCTTCTGTAGCTTTTTCTATGGCACACAAAGTTGAAATAAACACTTACTAAGCAGCAGTCACTGTTGCAAAACAGTCACAGCATCCAATAGAGGGCTTCAAGACATCTATTGTGCTGGAAATTCACAAATGAGATGCTGTAGGCCAGATGTGGCCCATGAAGGATTTTATGTAGCATCACAGGTAAATTTTCTTTCCAGTCTCCTACATGTAGAAGACAGTGTTGTTACAAATGTAGTTGCAGATGATTTATTAGGCTTGTTCCTCACAAGCATTCACCCTGGTGACATGTGGCCATCATTGCAATTTCTGGAAGAAAAAAAAATATCACAAACTCCTTCTCATGACACTTCTGAATATCACAAACAGGAGGACGATTTCTCAAACATTAAAAAGAGTTTGATGAAGGACATTGTCTGAGGTCTTTTTCATATGGGCTATAAACCAAGCTGGAATGCAAGTCTGACTGATGTGGTTGAAATTCTCTTTTGCCATTAGTCACAGACAGCAGGCTGATAGTGGGATGTTTTCAGACCATGTTTTTGCACATACATAGTATTGTTTCCTCCATACACAAAAAAAATAAAACAGCAATTCTGGCTATTTTTTTGCAAATAAGTGTACTGGGAAGATGAATAAAAGACAATTACTAGTATGCTGTTCTTAAGTTGATTTTTGTTTGAAGGCTGTGCCAGCTCTGTAATTGCTTTCAGACTAATCAATTATACGAATTTTATTTTTACAAATTAGAACTAACTGCTTACCCAATTTCCTGATTATTGTGCTTTTATGTTTTCTTAAAGCTTTTAGATTAATTAATTCTTAGAGGAACATAATTTTACAAGTAATTTTTCAGTGAATGTTTTCTGGAAAACATTCATTAATCATTGCAATGTATGACCTCAATAATACCTTGTCTCTATCTTATGCTTTTCTATTAATCAGTAATTAGCTTTGTCTTTTATTATGGCCTACATTTAAGAAGCTATCTTTGCTACTTGCACCTGTTTGTTAATACATAAAATACTTGGGAACTTCTCATGGCACCTTTGAAGAAAGGTGTTAAATGTTAGAAATAAATGAAGAAAACTTGAAGATGCTATCTCTGATTAATTGTGTGGGAGATGGTGTATTAGCCATATTGTTCCTCCTGTGTCAGCATCAACACATGTGGAGCATGCTATGCACTGCATCAGCCTGCATATGCAGATTTTAGTGTCAGACTGCCTCTGTAGCATGGTTTGTGAGCTTCTCCTGAGTCCTTAATGACTTCAGCATTCAAACCCAGTTTGTTCATCAGCCTGAAATCTGCTTATTTCTCTTTAACATTACAGCTGAAAAGATGGAATTGTTCTGGAATTAAAGGAAATCGAAGATATTTTGAAAACATGCACAGATATATGGATATAAGTAAGTTTGTATATAGACAAAATATTGTCTATTTTTCTGGGTTGGGAGAATCTACTGGCAGGATCTTCCTGACTTTGTGTGACCTTGAGAAAGTCCCTTAAGGTATCTCCTCTCAGCTTCCTTAATTTTTAATTGAGAGACTGATACACCCCTGCCTTACATTATGTATAAGCTGCATCTTCTTTTGCAATGTATTTTAAGGACTTCTGAATTAATAGGTTTAATTGGACAGAAAAGGTAACTAGCATCTTCTGTCTTCCATTCCGACTGAAATCCTCTCAATGTCAAGATAAAACCGAAATATAGTAGAATAATACAGAACAGAACCAGAAGTACAGACCATCTATTTGTTCTATGTTTCCAGGTGTTTCTTTAGCTTAAAAGTCAAAAAAGAATAATGCCTGTGTTTTTCTAGCTACAGAGCAACGGAAAATTTTTTGGTAGTGCAATTTTTAAATAAAACCAAAACTCTTAAAGAGTATAGATTTTCAAAAAAGTTCATTAAAAAAAAATCTGTATTTTAACAAATCTAATGCACATACATAAAAAAATTCTAAGAAATGAATGTGAAATATCTCCTAGTGAAATGCTTTTATTTTGATTCAAAATGAATGTGTGGAATTTTTGGGCATTCTCTTCTATGTAGGCCGAGCTACTTAAACAGTTGTAACTTGAATGAAAGTAGCTCACATTTCAGCTCTTCAGCTGTGATTGCTGTGCTAAGGTATTTCCTACAGTCAGATGTACTTCTAGCTTAGATACAGTGGAGTGATTTGTTTCTGAAATGTGTTCATGGAAAACAGTTGCAGTTGATAGAAAAAGTCACTTTTAGAGTTTGTGTTGCCCATGTTGTTCATTCATAGGTTCCCAGATAAACAAAATCTTTCTGGAAGAAATATATTTCATTCTGGTGTAACATCCAGGTGTCTCATAAAAATGGTAGTAGTTGTGAATATTGTTATCCCCTCAGTGGATTTCATCTTGTATGAAACTCAGCAACCATGACCTCACATGCATATCACTGCATGACCTTTCAAGAAGTCATTATGATGTTGGACAAAGCTTGTTTCATGAAAGTGACACCAGCAAGCATGAAATATTACAGCTGTTATAACAAAGCAATATGTTGTCACTGCTAGAACTGAAACGTTAGGTTTTGAATGAGCTATTTCAGTAACCAGATAAAATTCTTTAATCTAGTAAATAAAATGAAACTGTTTACTATGGGTATGAACCTAACTCTTCTGGCATCTTTATTATAATATACTTTTACCAATACGTAATTAAACTGAGAAGAGCAGTTCAGGAGTTTAAAATAACTAAATTAATTACCTTGGATTTTTGTTCAAGTGACAAGCATAGATATCTTGGGCTAGGCATCAAACTTGTTTCCTAAAAAAGTGAAAACATTTCCCATGATTGTTCATGTTACCTGGGATATGAAATGTTGTCTTGAGAGCTCACAATTTTGGAATAGAAATAAGCATACAGTACTGTTGGATGGAGGCTGGTGTGAGACACAAAACAATCTTCACTTGTTTGAACTTCCTACTGCTGTCGTGGTATGATTGTATTGTATTGCACCTCTGAAACTGGACTTATTTTTCAATGGCTGAAACATCTTCTGTGATATTCATTTAGGTATGTTCTAGAAAACAAACTTGTTAGCACATTTAAGTATGTTCTAGAAAACAAACTTGTTAGCACTTGTTAGCTTACTGAGATGAATACAGAAAGCTTTTTCTGAACTAGGTGTTCCTTATGTTCATTAATACATATTCAGTACTCATCAGTCTTAATTCTAAATTGTATTTTAAACTTTACAGCATTGTAAAAATATCAATGAGATTGATGAATGTGTTTCAAGCCATAGGGAATCTGAATCATAAAGTGTAACTACAAAGATGTGTTCTTGTTTCTGGACCCACATTATTGTTCATAATAAATTAATTCCTGTTGTATTACACAGTTTATATTTTCATTACAGTAAATCAGAGTGCATGTAGTCACAGAATAGCTCCAGAAAGCTGCAAGTATTTTTAGTTTTAGCATTTTATATCCTCTTTGCCATTCAAGATACCAGATCATTCTGGAGGAGGGAGTGAAAGATAAATAATTTAGTAACAAAACTATAGACTGAAAAACAACCTGCTGCTTCCCTCTTTTATTGCATTTTTCCACAACACATACTGTTTATGAAGTTATGTGAGTGGAAACACGAAGTGTGGATCCTCTCTCCTTGTCCATCAGTTTTGTCTCATAATTCTCTTGGCTTAGAGTATTCTTTCCTCCTAAATAATGGCATTTGTGTTATCAAATAGCATGGGTGGGCATTTTATCTCAGGCATGGGTGTGCTCCCTTATTTCTGTAATGTTCTGTTCATTCTTTAAGATTTTTTTTATTATTTGTTATTGCTCCGTTTCATTATTTTTTGTCAAAATAAGTTTACATTTAGGTCTCTAAACTATGCATAATTTTGTGTTATTTTATGTAATGTAATCTTCAGTGGCATAATTTGATGGGATATTCATTGTTTATGCTGTTTCATAGGTTAGGCGGGGCTGAAATGCTATGGAGGTAGTTAAAAGAGATGTGTCCTTCAATCAGTTTAGTAAATGCAAATAAAATATTTGGTTATGATGCTTGTAAATGGAAATGAAATCTTTGAGAAAGCTGTGGGGAAAAAAAAAAGGTCAGGATACATATATGGTGTTAGAGGAGATTGCATGTAGAAATATGCTTGAAAGAGTCTTCCCCCTAAAGTTCCATTCTTTCATTCCTTTGGGACTCAGTAAAACAGGATCTTCACTTTTCCAGTCCTAAGTGGGAATTGGCTTCCTGAAGTGAAAATATAATTGAGCTGCAAATGCTGAACACCTTGAAGGCGCTCAGGAGGACACACCTGTATGCTTCACTCCTGCTTTCCTCTGCAGCTGTGAACAACAGGTTGCAGGTTTAGATAGGATTTAAGAAAGGCATATCTTTGGAAGTAATTTGAAAATTCTTGATGCTCTGCATTTTTAAAATTAGGCTAGCTGTTTGGCTGTCTAAAGGGAGATGACAATGCTCACATTTGAAATGCTGAAAATCCTCATCAGTTTCTCCTGATTAATGGCTTCTATATATAATTCAAGGAGCTTTAGCATGAAAATGCCACCAAAAATTCAATAAGAGCATAGAAACAAAAGCTCTTTTAATTAATTAGAAATGCTTTCTGAATTTGCAGAAAGCTTTCCCCTGGGGACCTTCCAAATATGCATAAAAGTCTAGAATACACAGACTAAAATCTCACAACAAATCAATGAGTTTTTTCTCTAAACTCAGTGCAGCACAAAAGAGAGTTCTAGAAGAGTTAGCTTGCTGCCAAAATAATTTGTCTGAGCTCTTTCTTCATGCCTTCTCATTTCATTGGTTCAGTAGCTTAGGAACATAATTTTTTGTTTTGTTTTTGTGCTGTGAAAAAGGACAAAAGAATGGAAGCATTATGATAAGTTCCCTGATGGCTCTTGTTTTAAGAATGAAGCCTTATTTTTTTTTTTTTCAGTTGAGGTTAGAATTTTTTCCTTTGTTTGAATAAATGTCTGTCTTCCCTGACTACACCAAAAAAGATTTACACCTGAGTGTTGTCCACAACATTTATCTGGGGACTCTGCTCTGGGTCTGCATTTCTTGAAATCCCAGCATTGCAGTTTACAGATTACACACATGCTCTTCTTGAGGAATGCCTCAAAACAGTTCTTCATGCACTTCAGGCTGAGCTTACCTGTACCTTGAAAGAAAAAATGCAGACTTATGTCCCACAGGGACAGCAAATAACATATGAAGAATATTGCTTTTATAAACCCCAGAGTGAGCATTAGGGCTAAATGAGAAGAGTGTGGCAGCCCTGCTGTCCTCATGGGTAAGCTCTGGCAGAGCTGCAGGTGTGGTTTCCTGTACTGCAGGCCAGATGTTGCACCTGTGAAAGGTAACACTGATAGACCTGTGACCTTCCATAGACTGAGAGCATGAGTGTCTCAGTATTTTTGAGGAAACTGAGAGCAGACAAAGAACAAGGCACAGTGAAAGAGCAAATGGGGCTCTACAGCACATTGGCTTCCTATGCATCCCCACACCAGTGTTTCAGAAGGGCGCTGGTGTTAAACACACATCCAGGATGTTGTTGCTGCTTTATACTGAGCATACATTTTTGCAATTCTGAAAAGCCTAATGGGTACCAGTTAGGAATGAGTAATTTGAGCAATAGTAACCGGTGTAGCAGTGTTTCTTCTGGGCTAAGAAGCCCAGGCAAAATGCCAAAGTAACGTAGCTATGCAGATCTGAAATTTGGGTCTTTCTGTAGGATCATGTTTTGTGCTATGTTCAAATCTCTTTACAGATAAATTATCATGTGACTGGCTTTACCATATCCTCATAGAGAAGTGAGATGACTAAAAAAAAAAAAAAGGGTAGCAGTAATTTTATACTGAAAGAGCATCTAACATGTATTAAGTTTATCTCATGTTTTATAATGACATTCTGATTGTCCTTTTACAAGAATACCTGTGGTTGTAAACAACCTATTGACACAATAGCTTATGCAACAATCCATGTTGTTTGAACTTTTAGAGATTAAGGCATCATTAAAATTCTATAAGCTCTTTACAAATACTTCCTTGAAACAAGGTGTGGGCAAACACGACAAGTTGCTGTTTTGTGGTTCTGCCTCTTTCTGTCTGCCATGAGATGAGGAAAAGTACAAGTAAAGTCAACCAAGTGTACAGTATGAAAGCCACTCAATGGATTACTTAAATTTATACCTAATTTCAAGTCTGAGTTGCATCAATGTTGAATATCAATGAGGACAGAGAGATAACACCTGTGAAAATCTGTAAAGGTCTTTCTGAGATGGTACAATTATTCATACGTGCATTATATGATATATTATAAGGCATTTTCCACTGTTTTTCTTCAGTATTGGACTATTAGAGTTTTAAATTATTTTTTTACATTATGTCAAAGGGGGAAACATATATAAGGCCATGTCTGCAAGATTAGAATGCCT